GACCGCGTCTGAAAAGATGTGCCCGTTAATGTACAGACCATAAAATCAGTGTAGTGCAACAACAGAAATCATCTGACGGGCATTAGACGAGATGTTGCTTTGTGTGTCTATCGGGTGTTCTTTCGGGTGCCATTACTGCTTCAACCCTTTCTCTTGATTTTTGTACCTACGGGGGGGGCCGGGGGGAGGCCGGATCATCGGGTTCATGAAGGGTTTTAATTTCCAGCAGCAATGCCTTCGTTTTTAGGGTGCTAGCGCTGTCCTTCAACTCAATCTCAACGTGTCCGTGTGTGCCAGGATGACATATCATACATATTTCAGACCATTTCAAACTGGTTTTAAATTGCAGTGTTTAAGTGTGTGCAGCGTAAATGGTTTCAGAGAGCTTATCATGAAGATGGTATAGCCCTGTTTTTAACATCCCACTCAGCTGCAGCGGTTTTGATTGCCACTTGAAGGCAGCGTGCCATTTCTTATAACTGAATATCATTGTCCTCGACAGGATGTTTGCTACAGTACAGTATGTAAGTTATTGATGTGCTGATGTGAACATGTGGGGCCGAGTGAAATGAAGAAAAATGGTTGCAGATAGAGTAAACGTGTCCTCTTGCATTTAAACTGAAAACCACAATATAAATGTTCAAACCAGACGTCTCAGAGTCCTCTTTTGTTGAAGTGATGTGGGGCATGTGTTGCTGGGAAGATCTTTATTTAATGCAATGCATCAGTCAGTACACATGATTAAAATGGTTACAGTGTTTGTTTTGTTGGTGAACCTCTCACTCCCTCTAGTGGTCGCATCCCTTACTACACTAAGAAAAGACTCATTTTGTTTAGATTAACACTGCATTCAGGACAAATAGGATCACAAAAAGACCAAAACCATGTGCAAATTAGTTTTTTTTAATGGTGTCATCTGATGAGCTGAACTTTCACACCAGGTAGTTGGTGAAAGTGTCCCCTCTGGGCCGGACCTCCACTGTCTGACGGTGGAGGGAGCGATCATTCTGGACGGGTGGGGAAGTTGCAGGAGGAGCTGGGACTGTTGGAAGATGGTGGGGCTCTGGTCAGTTAACATGCACTGAATGTCACTTTGGTGAATGCATACTAAAATACTGAGGGCAGGCCCTATGGATATTTGAAAACCTTCAGTATCATCTTTATTTTTTTAAATAAAAATACATTTAATAATGATTGAGACACAATTTTATTTCAGTAAAAAAACCTTCAGTAACGGATTGCACTTCACCATCACAAGTTAAAACGTGTTTACCTCCGTTTGCAGACGGGATATGGAACTGGTGTCTCCCTCTTGAGAACATCTGTGGAATCAAAGCTTTGACATTATTCACATGCACTATATATCCCATTATTTTGTTGTTTAAGTTAATTGGAAAGCCTGATATAATATTTCCCTTTTTGAAGCCAATATAATTAGCTGTCACTTAAAATGGAAAATTAGCTTGGGAAACTAGAAAGAAACTGACAGGACTGCTATTCTCCCCCATCATCCCTCCCCTCAGCTTCCTCACCTTCTCACTGGACTCTGAGCTGGACTCTGAGCTGGAGCTCCCGTCGTTGCCGCATCTGAGAGAAACCAACTGTGTCGAGGTGGCCGACATTCTGACCCGACTGAAGCAGGCGAAGGATCGCTGAGGTGATCGAAGCCAAACGAGAAAAGGACGGTGTTTTTAATAGTCTGCATAATGCAAATATCTCTCCATATTCGTTACAGCTATTTTAGTTTCATTAGGATCACTGTCCCTGATGCATCATGGCAGATTTGATCAACACACACACTGTTCCAGTAAATCTGTGCCAATGCAAACAGTGGGCTGCATCAGTGTGTCAACATGTGGCCTACCCAGAACTGAGATATCAGGCCTTCACAGTCTCCAAGCAACTGAATACAGATACTTCAAATGAGAACAGTTTTCTCTAAGCTTTTTACTTTTTGTTGTATTCTGCGTTATGCAACCACCCTGTAGCATAAAACTAAACAGAATAAAACCATAATAAGATGTAATTCAGGTTATTTTTAACCTCTGGCGACATTAAAGATCTCCAGATGTGTTAAGACGTGTATACAAGTAGTCAAAAATTATAGTTTCAACATTAAAATCCTTATAAAGGCATCTACTCCTTCTACCTCATTAAAAATTCATCACTTGTATTTACATACTGGACCAGGATTGTGATGTCACAAATCCTGCTCGTGGGCCCCGCCCCTTACAATCAGATTTTGAAACTTATCACTCTCGCAGATGAATGTTGAAAACATCCTTTAGTGTCAAAACTCTACATACATCATTCAACCAGCACACTGTAGGAACGAAAAGAAACACTGATTTTTGAGGGAGGGGGACTTTAAGTGTCTCACCACGAAGAAACCAGGTCTGAAGGCGCATGTCAGGGGGTCGCTTCCGGAAGACTTTGCACACTGCGTCTCTTTAATGCCAAATGTCATCAGCAGGTCAACGGTGTTCAGGCCCATTGGAATAACCTGTCAATACATGTGAATGTTTGTAAGAATCCCACAAATACCACACATCCAGTTCTACTGCTATACTGCAAACGGCATCCACTGCAGCTATTACTCCACAAACATGAAACAGCAGCAAGTTATCATATCCTAATGTGCAGACTCACCCTTGTGACAGAGCCTCGAGTCACCCGGTAAAGATGGCTGACGGCGTACACAGAGTTGACCTCTGCCAGCGATGTTCCAAGACCCCTGTCTGCCAGAGACTCCAGCTCAGAGTTGTACAGCGGGATTCCTGCAAGGTCAGAGGACAGAGATGTACAGAGTCAGTGACCCCACTTACTGTGTCCCTTTAGTGCAGAGAACCACTTACCTGAGCAACCCAGAGACTGCAGCAGGGCCAAGAGAAGCACGTAGGATTTCATCTTGACTAGCACCAAACCAACGTACCTCACTCATCGTTTACCCATCGTTTACCTCCCTATAAATATGTTCAGCTCCACCTCTTACCCTCCATAACCCCTAAAAACCCCTCCCTCCCCCGGCTGTCTGCCTTGTTTCCTTCACGCAATAGCTGTTAACCTTTGTCCAGCACTATTGATCCCAGGGTGATGTGCAGAATTAAATGTGCACATGATCAAATTCAGACATTTGATGCACTCTCAGACTGGTTTGATGAAGATCATAAATCTGACTGTTGTTCATGAGTTAAATTCAATTTATTTAGCTGCTTCTTTAGGCAAGTTTGGACTTTACATTAATGATTTTATTAGTTTAAATCGATATAAATATCAATGTGCACAGAAAATCAAATTTCATTTAAGATTTTTCACTTTTTTTTATACATCAAAAGTTTTATCACTTAACACTGAGTCACTATAAAGCCAATGTTTTGGCAGATGTATTATCATCATTAGTATTTAAAATGAGAATTAGTCGACTCACACAAACTAAATCTGCAGTAATTTTGATAGTCAGTTTATCTTTTATGTTGTTTTAAACAAGAAATACCAAGAACTCACTGGTTTCAGCTCAAATGTGAATATTTGCTGCTTTTCTTCTTCTATAGTTTGATTTGGGTTTTGTTGGTCAGACAGCATTTCTCTATCTGTCTGAGTTGATGAGAGACCCAAATAGATTCTGGTAACACATCTGTTAATGGAGGTAAACATAAATGATCTGTTGATTTGGTAACCCCCGACGATTGTCTATGGACGGTAAACATAAATGATCTGTTGATTTATTATTTATGAACACAGTCAAATTTTAATGATAATAATAATGTTCTAATCTATTTTATTATTAAAGCCCCCCCTCCACTCAGAAACAAGTTCCCTGCTCTTCCTACAGTGTGATGTTTAAATGATGTCTGTGAGTTTGACACTAGAAGGATGTTTTCACATTCATCTGCTGAGAATGGAAAGTTTCTCTGAGCTCACTGAAAATCAGATTTTAAGAGATGGGGCCTACGAGCATAATTTGTGACATCACAAGTAGTCTGGAGGTCAATCCTGGCCACTGAATCCCAAATTGCATTGGTAGCTCGCTGCCATCTGTGTGTGTGAATGGGTGAATGAGAGGCAAACTGTCCCCTCTACGTCCCATCCGTCTGCAAATAATCCTGTTTAAAATGAGCAGATAATGACAACAAACGGACTTCCATGAAGTATGACAAATCGTTTTTTTCCATGAAGCGGTGTTGGTCTTTGTCCCGGCTCTGCGAAGCTCCTTTTGGTCTCCTTCCTCTGGACTCTATCTGCTGCAGCGCATTTCAACATCAGCAATCCTCTGCTACTGTCGGCCAAATCAAACAGTTGTTGGGTGTAACTTCCTCTAATACGGTTTATTTAGCAGTACAGCAATTTCTGAACGCAACAGTAACTCTCTCTCATCATGTGTTTATTACATTCAATATCAAAAATACTTCACATTTGGTGCATGAAGAGAATTCTAGTTGTTGTAAACAATAAATATGTTTCTGTTTAATATCTTGAGTCCTGTTATCACTGTATTACATACAGTACATCTCTTTTTA